GCTCCGATTCTCTTTCAGCTTAGGAAACTTGTTTAATGCTTCAACCAGTCACTTTGATTTCGTCTATAAATACTGCTAATAATTAATACCTTTCTTCACTTCTCATCTTTAATTCCCAGTTAATTATACTTTGAATCCTGTAAGCCCAGCCACCATGGGGTTTTCACCACCGTGCCTCTCTCAATCTCTCTCTTTCATTCTGTTTCTCTTCCATTTCCACTCAACAATTTCATCTCCACTCTCCTCAAATTACTCTTCTTCTTCTTCTTCTCATTTGTGTGCTCATCGCCAATCTCTTTCTCTCCTTCAATTCAAACAATCCTTCTCCATTCAGAGTTCTCCTTTTTGGTTTGCTAGAAACTATCAATATGATCAATATCCCAAGACAGAGTCATGGAAAGAGGGTACAGACTGCTGCTTGTGGGATGGGGTCTCTTGTGACCTGAAAACCGGCCATGTCACTGCACTGGACCTCTCTTGCAGCATGCTTTACGGCACCCTCCTTCCCAATAATTCTCTCTTCTCTCTCCATCATCTTCAAAAGCTCGACCTCTCTTTCAATGATTTCAACTCCTCCCATATTTCTTCTCGATTTGGCCAGTTCTCCAATCTAACACATCTTAACCTAAGTGGTTCAGATCTTGCAGGCCAAGTTCCGCCGGAAATCTCTCACCTCTCCAAAATGGTTTCTCTTGATCTCTCTTGGAACGGCTATGTGAGTCTAGAACCAATTTCTTTTGACAAGCTTTCTTTTGACAAGCTTGTTCGAAACCTAACCAAGCTTAGAGAACTCGATTTGAGTTCAGTAGACATGTCACTAGTTGTTCCCGATTCCTTGATGAATCTGTCTTCTTCTCTGTCATCGCTCAAACTCTATTACTGTAGATTGAAAGGAAAACTCCCATCCTCAATGGGGAAATTTAAGCACCTGCAGTACTTGGATCTTGGAGGGAACGATTTTACTGGTTCAATTCCATATGATTTTGATCAACTCACCGAGTTGGTTTCCCTTGGTCTCTCTTCCAACAACTATGTGAGTCTAGAACCAATTTCTTTTCGCAAGATTGTTCGAAACCTAACCAAGCTAAGAGAACTGGGTTTGGGCTATGTAAATATGTCTTTTGTTGCACCTAATTCCTTGATGAATCTGTCCTCTTCCTTTTCATCTCTTTTCCTCGGTGACTGTGGATTGCAGGGGAAATTCCCGGGTAACATCTTTCTCCTCCCAAAACTTAAATCATTAGATTTGTCATCTTTTCCTTCGTTCAATTTGAGTAATGTCCTCTCTCAATTAGATCTTTCTGATACAAGAATTTCAGTTTATTTAGAAAACGACTTAATCAGTAATCTAAAGTCATTAGAATATATGTCTCTTTGTAATTGTAACATTATAAGGTCAGATCTAGCACTACTTGGTAATTTCACACAGCTCTTGTTTTTAGACCTCTCAAATAACAATTTTAACGGTCAGATCCCATCATCATTTGGTAATCTTACACAGCTTGTTTATTTACAGCTCTCAAGTAACAATTTTAGCGGTCAGATCTCATCATCACTTAATAATCTCACACAGCTCGTTTATTTAGACCTCTCAAATAACAATTTTAGAGGTGAGATCCCGTCATTACTTGGAAACCTTGTACATCTCCGTTACTTACATCTCTCTTCCAATAAATTTATAGGTCAAGTTCCAGATTTTCTAGGTAATCTAGTCAATCTTTCATATTTAATTTTATCAAATAATCAACTAGTAGGCCCTATCCATTCTCAATTAAATACCCTTTCAAATCTAGAGAGTCTAAGTTTATCGGATAACTTGTTCAATGGAACAATACCATCCTTTTTGTTTGCTCTTCCTTCTTTACAATCTCTTGAACTTCATGACAATAATTTCATAGGTAATATAAGTGAACTCCAACACGATTCTTTGAGATTCCTTGATTTGAGCAATAACCACTTGAATGGTACAATCCCAAGTTCGGTTTTCAAACAAGAGAACTTGACAGTCCTTATTCTTGCGTCCAATAGTGAATTGACAGGTGAGATCTCTTCTTCTATTTGCAAGCTGAGATTCCTTCGCGTCCTGGACTTGTCCAACAACAGCTTGAGTGGTTCTACACCACTATGTTTGGGGAACTTCAGCAGCCAGCTCTCAGTATTGCATCTAGGCATGAACAATCTTCAAGGCACCCTCCCTTCAACTTTTTCAAAGGATAATAGCTTGGAATATCTCAACCTCAATGGAAATGAATTAGAAGGGAAAATACCACCGTCTATCATCAGTTGCACAATGTTGGAAGTTCTTGATCATGTCTTTGGTTGCACCTAATTCCTTGACGAACCTGTCCTCTTCCTTTTCATCTCTTTACCTTTGGGGTTGTGGATTGCAGGGGAAATTCCCGGGTAACATCTTTCTCCTCCCAAAACTTAAATCACTGGATCTGTCATCCAACGAAGGCCTCACTGGCTCTTTTCCTTCGTCCAATTTGAGTAATGTCCTCTCTCTGTTGGATCTTTCTAATACAAGAATTTCAGTTTATTTAGAAAACGACTTAATCAGTAATCTAAAGTCATTAAAATATATGTTTCTATTTAATTGTAATATTATAAGGTCAGATCTAACCCTACTTGGTAATTTCACACAGCTCATCTTTTTAGACCTTTCAAATAACAATTTTAGCGGTCAGATCCCATCATCATTTAGTAATCTCACATTTTTAGACCTTTCAAATAATAATTTTAGTGGTCAGATCCCATCATCACTTAGAAATTTGACACAGCTTCGTTTCTTGTATCTCAGTTCCAATAAATTGATGGGTCAAGTTCCAGATTCTTTAGGTAGCCTAGTCAATCTTTCATATTTAGATTTATCAAATAATCAACTAGTAGGCTCTATCCATTCTCAATTAAATACCCTTTCAAATCTATATTATCTATATTTATATGGTAACTTGTTCAATGGAACAATACCATCCTTTTTGTTTGCTCTTCCTTCTTTACGAGATCTTGACCTTCATGACAATAATTTCATAGGTAATATAAGTGAACTCCAACACGATTCTTTGAGATTCCTTGATTTGAGCAATAACCACTTGAATGGTACAATCCCAAGTTCGGTTTTCAAACAAGAGAACTTGACAGTCCTTATTCTTGCGTCCAATAGTGAATTGACAGGTGAGATCTCTTCTTCTATTTGCAAGCTGAGATTCCTTCGCGTCCTGGACTTGTCCAACAACAGCTTGAGTGGTTCTACACCACTATGTTTGGGGAACTTCAGCAGCCAGCTCTCAGTATTGCATCTAGGCATGAACAATCTTCAAGGCACCCTCCCTTCAACTTTTTCAAAGGATAATAGCTTGGAATATCTCAACCTCAATGGAAATGAATTAGAAGGGAAAATACCACTGTCTATCATCAGTTGCACAATGTTGGAAGTTCTTGATCTTGGCAACAACAAGATTGAGGATGCATTTCCGTACTTTCTAGAAACGCTTCCAAAGCTGCAAATTCTTGTCCTAAAATCGAATAAACTCCAAGGTTTTGGGAAGGGTCCGGCTGCACATAATTCCTTCTCTAAATTACGGATTCTTGACATCTCTGACAATGATTTTAGTGGGCCATTGCCAACAGGGTATTGCAATAGTCTTGAAGCAATGATGGCCTCGGATCAAAACATGGTTTACATGAATGCAACAAATTACTCTAGCTACGTCTATTCCATAGAAATGACATGGAAAGGTGTAGAAATTGAGTTTACGAAGATACAAAGTACCATCAGAGTACTCGATTTGTCAAAAAACAATTTCACCGGAGAGATTCCAAAGTTGATCGGAAAGCTTAAAGCACTCCAACAGCTCAACCTCTCTCATAATTCCCTTACAGGTCAAATCCAATCATCATTAGGAAATTTGACCAATCTGGAATCATTAGATCTATCTTCAAATTTGCTTACCGGAAGGATTCCAACGCAGCTGGGGGGTCTAACATTTCTTGCAATCCTAAACCTTTCACATAACCAGCTCGAGGGGCGTATACCAAGTGGAGAGCAGTTCAACACCTTTACTGCAACCTCATTTGAAGGAAACTTGGGTTTATGTGGATTTCAAATACTAAAACAATGTTACGGTGATGAGGCACCATCATTACCGCCATCAAGCTTTGATGAAGGAGATGATTCAACATTGTTTAGAGATGGATTTGGATGGAAAGCTGTGACAATAGGGTATGGATGTGGGTTTGTGTTTGGAGTTGCAATAGGATACGTTGTGTTTAGAACAAAAACACCTGCATGGTTTCTTAGGATGGTTGAAGATAAATGGAATCTCAACGACAAAAAAACAAAGAAGAATGCTGGCAGATACGGTGCTAGAAGAAACTAAATAATGCAATTGATATTTTCAAGTAAGTTTTGCAAGCATTTGAGTTTTCAAATTTTATGTTCACAGTTCTTGTTAGGCTATCTTTTATCTACAATTTATTTGATCAGTGTTACCTTTCTAATTTTGCAGTACAAACAAGATATCATGTTGATTTCACACGTAAACAACATCAAGGTTAATTGGGTGGCAGATTCATAGTATTGGATTCCCTTTACTTTTTCTTTTTTTTCCATCAAGGTTAATTGGGTGTTACTTCTATGAAAAAGATTCCATGTATGCAAGCAATAATTTGTGTAAACTATAAAAAACATTTATGTTTTAGGTCCTTTTCTATGTGTTCATTTCCTTATTCTTAATCACTTAAATCAATCTCCTTTTCATGGAGTATTTTAAATTTTATAAGAATTAAAGCAATTCTGTTCTCACAACAGCAGCAATATTTGCAAGCAAAATGGAGTAATTCTATAACTTGTAAGTCATAAATGACTATTAAAAAGAGTAAGAAACCCATATCAACATGAACAAACAATGTTCCACAACTTTGACACAGACAAAATGATCAACAAAATCAGTCGACATTGGTGATTGGCGAGTTTATATGTAAAGCAAAAGAAAAGCAAGATAGGTATTAATACCACGCTAAGAGCTCTATGCTACAGCAAATCTGCAATTTTGAGTCGCCTAAAAACAACATATTCTACTTAGAGCATTTCAGAATAGGAAAAACATTAAAATAATTTAAAATACAATTTCTCTTGGCCTGATATCAAGAAAAAACAAATCAATATTTCAAGGGTCCTGATTATCCGACTGAAGATTCAAGATTTGAGATACTACGAGTATAAGTTATGGCTTGAACCTGATAGTCATCTGACTACCTGGCCACCTAGGTGAATGTGAGCTTGACCTCCTGTACTCATTTGCAGCAACCCTAGTCTTAGTTGATGTGCCAAGAATTCTCTGCGAGTCTGACTGGGACAATGGCCTTGGTGCCTAAGAAAGAATCCCAATGAAGAAACTCAATAAAGGGTTAAAAAATCCACAGCAAGCTCAAACAATGGAAAGATAAAATCCTCCGGTTAATATTTTTTAACACCAATGGCTATCCCTTGTAGTTCATAACAACACTTTCTTTAATTTCTTCTAGTTCTCATGAGGAACCATACTATCTTCTATCCATTGCAATGGAAGTCACTGGTTTTTGATAGAGCACAACAAGCAACAATTACCAAAACTTTTCCATGACACCCTCAGGCATGCATGGGATTTCTATGCAAATATTACAAATCAATAAAAATACCTTGAAGAATTAGCTGGGATTATAACAAATCACATATGAGAACCAGTGTAGCCCTCACACAAACTTGTTATGCAGTCAAAGTCAATTTTGCTTTTGACCTTCATGAATAATTGATCATGAAGATTGGTTTTCCCTTATTGATGCTGGAAAAGAAATATCTTTCCTATCCCACACTAACTTGGTAATCTTGAGGGCAAGAACCTTGGAACTCCAATCTTTGTCAGTTTTAGTAGGCTGCTCTGTTTTCCGGTAATGGTTCAGTAATGTTATTCCTACACTTTCACTAAATATTTTCTTCAATTTCCGGTACGCTGCTCTGAAATTCCTTCAAGTCTAACTTGTAAAATAATAGTTTGAGCGACACCACCATGCTTATTTAGGAAACTTCAGCGACAGCCTCTTAGTTTTGCATTTTAGAATGAACAGTCGCATGAAATACAAAAATTCTATGAACTTGATTAGATATATCTATGAACTTTGTTTTAGGTTTACTAAGTCAAAAAAAAAAATAGAGACTTTATTTTTGTTGTGGTTGATGGTTTTTTTAAAATGATTTATTTTATTGCATGCCATAAAACAAATGATGCATTTCATATCGCAAACTTGTTCTGTAGGGAGATTGTATGTTTGCATAGCATTCTTAGGAGTATAGTGTCAGATCATGATGTTAAGTTCCTTAGCTATTTTTGAAAGACTATATGTGGAAAGTTGGGAACTAAATTTTTATTTTCGATAATATATCATCTTTAAACAGAAGGATAAACTAAGGTACTGAATAAAATATTATCTCAACTTTTATGTGTTGTAATTCAAAAAAATCTGAAAAGTTAGAAAAAATATTTGCCTTTAGTTGAGTTTACTTATAATAGAATTATGCATTCCACCAACAACTTTTCTCCTTTTAAAATTATTTATGGATTTAATCCATTAACTCCTATAGACTTAATTCCTTCACCCTTTGAAGAAAGGGTTAATTTAGATGGTGAAAAGAAAAAAAAGATGGTGAAACAACTCCACGAGGGAGGTCAACTACAAATATAGAAAAAGAATAGATTGTACACTTCTAAAGTAATTAAAAGACATAAACAGGTTGTTTTCAAACCCGGTGATGGGGTTTGGGTGCATATATGTAAGGAATGATTTCCTAACCAAAGAAAATCAAAATTATAGCCTCGTGGTGATGGTCCATTTCAAGTTTTAGAGAGGATCAATGACAACATATATAAAATTAATCTTTCTAATAAGTATGGTGTTAGTATTATCTTTAATGTTGATGATTTTATGTTGTTAGGCATCGGTTTAGATTTAAGGTCAAATCCTTTCAAGGAGAGAAAGGATGATGTGGACCATCTTAGAAACACCAGCAAGGACCCATTACATGTTCCAAATGGTCCAATGACTCGGTTCAAGATAAAGGCATTGAAAGAGGCATTGAATGCATTGGTATTGAAGGTTTCGACTAAGTCAAAATTAAATGGTCCTTTGGAGTATTAAAAGGAGGCCCTAATACATCTTATTCATGCCTAATACATCTTATTCATGTGCAAGAGGGGACGAATAGAGCCTTATTTGGTCCATGAGGTGAGGACAACAAAGAAAACAACATGGGGTTTTCACCACTGTCCCTCTCCCAATCTCTCTCTTTCATTCTGTTTCTCTTCCATTTCCACTCAACTATTTCTTCATCTCATTTCTGTGCTCCTGACCAAAGTCTTTCTTTGCTCCAATTCAAAGAGGCCTTTTCCATTAATAGCTCTGCTTCGGGGCGTTGCCAGCGTCCCAGGACAGAGTCGTGGAAAGAGGGTACAGACTGCTGCTCGTGGGATGGGGTCACTTGTGACCTGAAAGCAGGGCATGTAACTGGACTGGACCTCGCTTGTAGCATGCTTTATGGCACCCTCCATCCCAATAGCACCCTCTTCTCCCTGCATCATCTTCAAAAGCTCGACCTCTCTCACAATGATTTCAATAGCTCCCATATTTCTTCTCGATTTGGCCAGTTCTCCAATCTGACACTTCTTAACCTAAATTGCTCAGTCTTTACAGGTCAAGTTCCGTCGGAAATCTCTCATCTCTCCAAATTGATTTCACTTGATCTCTCTGACAATGGCTATCTAAGTCTAGAACCAATTTCATTTGACAAGCTTGTTCGAAACCTAACCAAGCTTAGAGAACTCGATTTGGATTATGTAAATATGTCTTTGGTTGCACCTAATTCCTTGACGAACCTGTCCTCTTCCTGTTCATCTCTTTTCCTCAGTGACTGTGGATTGCAGGGGAAATTCCCGGGTAACATCTTTCTTCTCCCAAACCTTGAATCACTGGATCTGTCATACAACGAAGGCCTCGCTGGCTCTTTTCGTTCGTTCAATTTGAGTAATGTCCTCTTTTTGTTGCGTCTTTCTAATACAAGAATTTCAGTTTATATTCTAATACAAGAATTTCAGTTTATTTAGAAAACGATTTAATTAGTAATCTAAAATCATTAGAATATATGTCTCTTCGTAATTGTAACATTATAAGGTCAGATCTAACCCTACTTAATCTCACATAGCTAATCTTTTTAGACCTCTCAAGTAACAATTTTAGCGGTCATATCCCATCATCACTTGGAAACCTTGTACATCAATAAGCCCTATCTATTCTCAATTAAATACCCTTTCCAATCTACATTATCTATATTTATATGGTAACTTGTTCAATGGAACAATACCATCCTTTTTGTTTGCTCTTCCTTCTTTATATTATCTTGGCCTTCATAACAATAATTTCATAGGTAATATAAATGAATTCCAACACAATTCATTGACTTACCTTGATTTGAGCAATAACCACTTGCACGGTACAATCCCAAGTTCGATTTTCAAACAAGAGAACTTGCAAATCCTTATTCTTGCATCCAATAGTAAATTGACAGGTGAGATTTCTTCTTCTATTTGCAAGCTGAGATTCCTTGTCCTCCTGGACTTGTCCAATAACAGCTTGAGTGGTTCTACATATGTTTGGGGAACTTCAGCAGCCAGCTCTCAGTATTGCATCTAGGCATGAACAATCTTCAAGGCACCATCCCTTCAACTTTTTCAAAGGAGAATAGCTTGGAATATCTCAACCTCAATGGAAATGAAATAGAAGGGAAAATATCATCGTCTATCATCAACTGCACAATGTTGCAAGTTCTTGATCTTGGCAACAACAAGATTGAGGATACATTTCCCTACTTTCTAGAAACGCTTCCAAACCTCCAAATTCTTGTCCTAAAATCGAATAAACTCCAAGGTTTTGGGAAGGGTCCGGCTGCACATAATTCCTTCTCTAAATTACGGATTCTTGACATCTCTGACAATGATTTTAGTGGGCCATTGCCAACAGGGTATTGCAATAGTCTTGAAGCAATGATGGCCTCGGATCAAAACATGGTTTACATGAATGCAACAAATTACTCTAGCTATGTCTATTCCATAGAAATGACATGGAAAGGTGTAGAAATTGAGTTTACGAAGATACAAAGTACCATCAGAGTACTCGATTTGTCTAAAAACAATTTCACTGGAGAGATTCCAAAGTTGATCGGAAAGCTTAAAGCACTCCAACAGCTCAACCTCTCTCATAATTCCCTTACAGGTCAAATCCAATCATCATTAGGAAATTTGACCAATCTGGAATCATTAGATCTATCTTCAAATTTGCTTACCGGAAGGATTCCAACGCAGCTGGGGGGTCTAACATTTCTTGCAATCCTAAACCTTTCACATAACCAGCTCGAGGGGCGTATACCAAGTGGAGAGTAGTTCAACACCTTTGATGCAAGCTCATTTGAAGGAAACTTGGGTTTATGTGGATTTCAAATACTAAAACAATGTTACGGTGATGAGGCACCATCATTACCGCCATCAAGCTTTGATGAAGGAGATGATTCAACATTGTTTAGAGATGGATTTGGATGGAAAGCTGTGACAATAGGGTATGGATGTGGGTTTGTGTTTGGAGTTGCAACGGGATACATGGTGTTTAGAACAAGAAAACCTTCATGGTTTTTTGGGATGGTTGAAGATATATGGAATCTCAAGAGCAAGAAAACAAAGAAGAATGTTGGCAGATGTGGTGCTGGAAGAAACTAGATAATGCAATTGATATTTCCAAGTAAGTTTTGCGAGCATTTGAGTTTTCAAATTTTATGTTCACAGTTTATGCAGGCTATCTTTTCTCTACAATTTATTTGATCAGTCTTACCTTTCTAATTTTACAGTACAAAAAAGATATCAAGTGGATTTGACATTTAAACAACACTAGAGTGGCAGATTCATGGTATTGGATTCCCTTTACAAATAAGATATCAAATGGTTTGGGTGTTGCTTCTGCGAAAAAGATTCCATGTATGTAATAGGTCAAGCAAGCAATAGCTTGTGTTCACTATAAAATCATTTATGTTTTATTGAGTTATGATCATTTCCTTATTCTTGATCACTTAGGTCATGTTTGTTTTTTGGAAAGTAGTTTCTAGAAAACCATTTTCCAAACTTTCCCATGTTTGTTTATCATTAGAAAAGTTGGTCAACGGAAAACACTTTTCAGTCAATGAAAAATATTTTCCAGTCAATAGAAAACACTTTCTGGTCAACGAAAAACACTTTTCAGTCAAAGAAAAATTTGGCTTGGTTTTCAGGAAAGTGTTTTTCTTTTTAACTGTGTTTGTTTTCCGAAAAGTGATTTCTGGGAAATCACTTTCCAAACTTTCTTGTATTTGTTTGCTGTTAGGAAAGTTGGTAAACGGAAAACACGAAAATTTGGCTTGGTTTTCAGGAAAGTGTTTTCCTGAAAACTTTGGGCAGAAAACACTTTCTAGAAGTTATGAAAAATTTAGAAATATCATTATTTGATGATTATATCAAATTTGATCCTGAAAGTTTTGATTGCTATATATATTTTGTTCTCAATATTTATTTTTCAATTTTATTTCTTAAAATTTAATTTTTATATTAACTTTGGTCCTCATTTTTATAATTGTTATTTGCTTTTTTCCTATTATTTTTTTATTAAAATTTTTTATCTATCAAATTTGGTCCTTATTCTTTTGATTGTTACTTATTTTATTTGAA